CCTTTTTTGGAGCTAAAAATGCCCTTTTATGATGTGATAGGGATTGTAACGTGTGTTTGCTTAATTGTTTAGGTTCTTACTTGGCAAAATAAAGTTGGAAATCCAAGGTTGAATTCCAAATTTTTGTTATCGAAATTTTACTGGCCCATGGGATCCAAGCATCTAGAACCACTGCTTAAAACCTCATAGCTGAGATTTCCAAAGCTTCAACTTATGCCAAGACAGGAAAGTCAGTTGTTGGGTGGTTTTTTTTTTATACCCTACATAAGTGCACTGAAGAAATATCAGGTAAATCTTAAACTGTTAGGAGGTCTACTCTTTTTCTGACTTCATTTTTGCTAAGTCTGGATGCTGAGCACAATTACCCAACAGGTAACCCCAGTCTCAGGCAAGGAAAGCCTGCGGACTTCAGCAGGCAAATGTTGATTGCAGTCCTTGTGTTTGAATGTTGGCAGTTCTGCCATGCTGGAAGTTGCTAAGCACTTGGTACCTGTGCTGTGGAGATTCTGTGGGGAACGTCTGTGGGCTGGCACCCACATCTACACACAGTAAATGTGCCCGCGTGAGGCCTCAGAGAACCAAGGTTGTTGCCTGCTGGCTGACCTTCACTGGACTTGCTGTTTTCTCTGCACTCGTGCTCCCCTGACAAATATCCAGGCCCAGCAGGGGCCAGCGATCTCATTAATTTGCATTTCCTTCACTAGACTTCATTCATGTCAAGCTGGTATTTGTTATTCATTGGAGCAGCTTAAATATGCGGAGGTAAACAAACCTTCTGCTGTGGTGCTGAGCATGGAGGGCTCTATTTGGGGGAAGAGGGATCAGTTTATGGCTTTTAACCTCTTACTTTTAAAATTTATTTAATTTTGTGAATGATAATACGTAGCAAGGTTTGTCCTGTTCTTAAAAGGAATACTGTGAAAAGTTTCTTTTGTCCCTGTGCCTTTTTTCAGTGTCCAACTCCAGTTATCACTGTTACTTGTGGCTTGTTTTTCCTTCAAGGATTTTTTATGAATATGCGTGCCAAAAGAATATTTGTTTTCTTTTTTATACAAGTGGTGACATACCATACACAGCATTCTGCATCATGTTTCATCCACTTAACAATTTATCGTAGAGATCTTGCCATGTCAGTAACTAATAAGCACTCTTATTCTTAATACCGCATAAAATTCCATTGTGTAGCTGAATCATAATTAATTAGACAAGTCCTCTCCTGAAGGCCATCCAGGTTGCCATAATGAGTAACCATGTTCACATATATTGTTTTGGACAAATGCTAGTTTATCCATAGAACAACATAGGCATGTATTTGCTGGATCAAAGAGTTACATGTTTGTAATTTTGATAGCAGTTGTGAAAATGTCCTTTATGGGAAAAAATATCTCAATTTACATTCCCACTAACAATATTTCAGAATACCAATTCTCCTCAAGCTATATCACAGTTGTGGATTTTCACCAGTCTTCCAGGTAAAATGTCTCTCAGTAACATTTATTTTATGAATGAGGTTGAGCATCTTATGTTTGAGTCATATCTTTTCATTTCTGTGAAGTGCCTGATCGTATCCTCAGCTATTTTTTTAAGTTAACTTTTTGATCTTCTTTTTTTTTTTTTTCTGAGACAGGGTCTTGCTCTGTTGCCCGGGCTGGAGTGCAGTGACGCAGTCTCAGCTCACTGCACATTCAACTTCCTGGGCTCAAGCGATCCTTCTGCCTCAGCCCACCAAGTAGCCGGGACTACAGGTGTGCACCACCATGCCTAGCAAATGTTTGTATTTTTCATAGAGACAGGGTTTCACCATATTGCCCTGGCTGGACTTTTTGGACTTTTATGCATTTTATTGGAGCTCTTTATATTAGGAGATTAGCCCATTGTCTGTGATATGAGTTGTAAATATTTTCCCATTTTGTCATTTATTTTTCTTTTTAACTACATTTTCAACACATTCCTCATGTGAAGGGTTTGGCTCAGGGCTGTTTCCTATATAGCCTCAATCATCCAAATGTGTTGATGGCTCCCTGCATTCAAAGTACTTTAACTTTCACCTTTTCATGTACTAAGCCACTTAATTTGTAGAGGTTCCGTACTGGGCCTGGTGAAACTCAGCTTGTAAATTACAGAGGCAACTTGAACCGAGGCCTCCCTGGACTATAAAATCCACCATCTTAACTACCACACAGTGTATCCAGTAGGACTTAAGAGAGTACAGCCCAATCTTAATATTAACCAAAGGAAAATAGAAGCCATAAAATAAAATCTCCTAGGAGAGAAAACAAACAAAGAGTTGTGATGTACTATGAACCTAATTTATAGAAGCCACTATATGAGAATTTTCCTTTCCATTCATACAAATACAGAGGTTCAAGATTATGTAACCTCAGCAATTAATTGTTACTTCCTATATGTTAATTACACCATGAAGCAACATCCATTCTGTATGATGCCTCCATTAAGTATTATGCCCACTCCTTTTCATTTTCTCTGTTTACACAAATATATTTTCTTGATTGCCCCATGTAGGTAAGCCTGCCTCACAGTTGGCCCATACTTCTCTGTATCTTAATATGGCCCAAAGCTACCTAGATTTAATTCTTTTTCATGGAATGATTTAGTGGTTTTTTAAACCACCAAATACCTATTATTATTTCTGTATGCCTAAGGAAATAAAGGTTCCTGTTCTCTACGTGAAGCTGCTCTGCTGTGTGTACATGAGCATTCTTGTGTGTATGTGTGAACATGTGTTTGTGTGTCTGTCTCACTCCAGGGAAACCTAACACTATCATTTTTACACTATAACTGAATAAATCACAGTAGTCAGAGAGATGTGAATCTAAGGAAAATTTTTATAATGAATGGAAACTTCAGGGAAAGATGAATAATCCAAGGAGCTCAGAACTAACCCAAAATGAAAATAATAATAGTAAATGCAGCATCCTCTCTGATAAAATCCTGGGCCCAAAACTGCAAAAATATGAGAGAAACTCCATTTAAGTGGAACATGGGTGTTTTATCTTACCTCTTTGAATGTTGAAGGAAATCTGCTCCAATAGAATGAGTTCCTTTGTATGAGATAGAAGGTGAAAAAGAGAGAAGAAATTGGCAACGCTCTTAGCCCACTGAAAGCAGCCTGCTTCAGAACCTAAGGCATTGTGGTTATTTTTACTTGCTTGCAAAATTGAGTCACGAAGGATGTTATAGGTCTCTTTGAGCCTCTTTGCTTTTACCCTTTATTTCTATATAATCTACATTTATATTAATAAATTATCACGTGCCATATACGTTTCAGAATCATTCCTTTTGACAGTCCCATGGGATCGAATCCCCTCCTAAATCCCAAAATATAGAAAGAGAAAATGGTTGGATACAGCACCAGGGCATCATACATTAGTACTAAATATTCAACTATGCTTGCTTAGAGAAACAATAACCATTTAAATGAGCAGATGATTTGGGGGTCATTCCTTACAATGTGACTGCTCTTCTCTCAGGCAGTCTTAGTCCCTGTATCACTCTCCTAGTGTGTAGCCTTGCTGCTGCCTGAGTGTAATCCTGCCTTTCAAGATAACCATTTATTATATGGTGCTAACCCCTAACAACACAAGCCAGCTCCGTCCTCTGATACTCAGCAAAAAAACAACAAAAAAACAAAACAGTCATCGGTAATCGTGCAGGAGGAAAAACTAGTTGCATATGATATATTGAATAGATACTTCCTAGTTTTCAAGGGTGACCTGTGACTATGCTGAATTTCTGCCTTACACATTGATTTTCTAATGTAATTTCCATGTAAAAATCACATCTTCTCTATTAGCATTATGTTGAAGACTCATTCTTTCACTCAACAAATACTTATTGAGTGTCTGCTATGTGCCAGGCATTGATGCAAGAATCTGATTGATCTCAACAACTTAAACTGTAGTAGATCCAAAGTGTTTATTCTGTGCTGAAAGTCTTTGTCATTTGCCCAGTCCTTTTTGTGTGGTATCCATAAAAAGCAGACCATGATAAACTTGCGTAGGCTCTCAATGTCCCACCTAGAATGTAGATCAAAGGGATCTTGAACCTTTACATAAAATTCTATTGCATTGTTCTAATTTTTCTGAAAATTTTAACAATGAAAACACTGAAAAATTTAAGAATGAATGGCTTAGGTGGTTTGACTGAGCTCATGTATTAGGTAATACTGTATGGAGTCAAAGAATAAAAAGGATGAGTCTGATAAACATCAACATTTAGGCCAGTGGATCCCTCAATGGATCTGACCAGTAAAAAGTACAGAAGGGGATTCAGCTGTATGAATAATGTTTTATGTCTTAAGCAGCATTTTGGATTCATTGATATGCACTGGTTTATTCTTTGTACATTTTATGTATCATAAGTATTGTGTATAATTTTTCAAAATGAACCCAGAAAAAGGAAAAGAAGACAATGATATACTGGGGAATGGAAATCAGGTTTTAAATTTTTTAAATATGTAAGGTCTCTTTTTTTTTAAAGTGTAAATAAAAGAGTTCAGATTGAGGTCCTATTCCGTGTGATGGTTCTCTTTGTTGGTAGGATGTTTTAAGAGTTAATTTCACTTATCCCTGGTTAACAATGTTTGCCAAATATCCAAACTTCATGGTTAAAAAAAATGCATTTTTGAAATTGCTCCACACTCTAAGGCCTAGATCTTTTACCCAAAGCATTACAATGTCATTATACTGGTGATAATGGAGTGATCTTCCCAGGAAGAAAGCACAAAAAGATAAATGAATTTTCAGGCTTGTGACACTGATTGACAGGGAATGCCTGCACAGAGTGACCCTCACTAACTAGCATCTGTTTCTACCTGGTGATCATTGGCCTTTATGACATGAACTTTGAGAAACCCACTCTCAGGGGATGATTTTTCTAGAGGTAACATTGGCCCAGGACTAATAGAGCTAGAATTTGCAGTCAAAATTGTCCTTGCTAATGTGTTCTTTCTTTCTCTCTTTTTAATATTTTGACTTCAGCGAAGGGAGCAATCTGACCCCAGCACATCACTACCCAGACTTTAGATTTAAGACATACGCTCCATTAGCATTCCGATATTTCAGAGAACTTTTTGGTATCAAGCCTGATGATTACTTGGTAAGAACCTGTCATTTTTCTTCCTTCTATAGAAATGTGTGATGTAAACATTTGTCTCGTAGCAACAGCAACAAGTGGCTTGTGTCTCTCATTTTATAGAGCCCTGGGGCATAGTAAAAGTTCCAAGTTTTATAATGATTATAAATTTAGCTTCAAGAAATGTTGATGTGACTGTGTAGCTTTTACTGATAACTGCAAAATCTGCGATGGTAATTGATATTTAAATAACTATAATATCAGTTGTGACTTCAGATAATTATTCTAACAGATATGTTATAATTAGTTCTAAATACTCCTGTGAATTTTGCTGATTAGATTCTATTCAAAAGCCTTTCTATGTTAATTGCCTTATTTGTACCATTCCTCTAAACTACCTTGGCCCACAACCATTTCACCTTGACCTACAAATTTGAATAAACATTTTAAAGAATCTGGATAATTTTGTTCTCAAAATCTCTTCAGGCAGACTTTTTAAACATATTTTTATTTGATACAAGGGCATGTTTTATCCTCAGATTTGTCTGTGCTCTTCATCTGCCTTCTGGCACACAAGAGGTACAGACACAACAGCCTTTTTGTGAGAGGTAGTCTGATGTGACCTCAGAGTTTTACCTCATTCCTGTTCAAGGAGCCAGGAACTTTCTGTTGCAAGTGAAAAAATGGTTTGTTTCATAATTTGATCACTGTTAACACCCTGGGGCTCTTCAAAATTGGTTTCCAAAAGACTGTAGGAAGAATGCCATCAAATATTTATTGTGCATCCCATTCTGAATGATCTTAATAAGACTTGAGCCAGATCCTGGGACAGTGCTTTTCAGAGGAAGTATAGCAACATGTGTAACAAAGAGTATATAATATGCATCTTATAATTTGGATAAGATGTAAATAATTAAAAGTTGATTCTACTCTGTGCTGATGAAGACTTTCTTATGTCTCCTCTGAATCTTGTAAAAGAAAAAAGAAAATCTGTGAATGATCTTCTTTATTTGGTCCGTAAGAAAATCATATGACTTCTGCCTAATGAAGCAATACTGCTTTCTCAAGGCACATCAGTAAGTCTCCAAAGAATGGTGAGGGCAAAGTAGAAAGTCCCTGGCATCCTGCTGCCCTTAAATGTATATATTGCTCTCTTTCTCTTACCACTCCCCTTTAATTGAAGCCTCAGGTGCCTCTACCCGTCACTACCAATGCAAGTACACAAGCACACACATTTGTTCTCTCTCTCTCTCTCTCTCTCTGTGTGTGTGTGTGTGTGTGTGTGTGTGTGTGTGTTAGAGAACATCCTTTGGTTTCTAGCCATTCTGTAATTACTGAAGGTTGTCATCATTCAGAAAATGTGTTTGAGATGGGGTTTACAATGTGGTTATACTGATGATAATGGAGTGATGTGTTTGAGATGGGGTTTACAATGTGGTTATACTGGTGATATACCCCCAATGGGGTTTGGATATTATATTATGGAAAACAAGATAGATCTCTCATCTTCTGCCACACACTCAAATTTAATGGATTCTCTTTCTGAATTTCCTTGAACTTCTCACCAGCTGAAGAGATGCCTTAGACTTACGTTTCACACTGCTGATCCAGTCAGTATGACCAGATGGATGCCTGTCTTTAGCCCTCCCATATCCATTGCCCCAAAGGCTGGACGTCCATTCTTTCATTCATTCAGACCTCACAAATTTGCTTTCTTTGGGAAGAGCCTTTTCTGAACAACTTCCCACACAGCCTACCCGAGTTTCCTAATGAGTCTTTAAGCTGGAAAAATTATTTTCATAATGTGGTTAGAGTATTTACAAAGGAGCGTAAGAATCTAGCTCATCACTTCTCACGAGAGAAGTCCTTGTGCCTGTAGCTGGCAAAACGTAATCAATCAGTGGGCACTTTGAACACCTATTATATCTAAAACACTTTGCTAATACTTGTAGGGAAATTCAAAAAACTACAAGTCACGACACACAAAGAACTTAAAATCAAACTGGAATACTAATTTGTCTATGTAGAAAACCAATCAACTCTACCAGGCAATAAATGTAAAAACTGAAGCAAAACATGAAATACTCTAGGGTTGAGGTAGAGGTCTTTCTCTTTCTTGGGGTGATGATTAGGAGGTCTTCTTATGAGCATGGTGTGGTTTTAACCATGCCTTAAAAATTACAAGGGATTTTAAAAGGTAGAAAAGAGATGGATGCTCAGGGGTGAAGGGTTGGAAGGGGCACTGTAGAACCAGAAATGTGGATGTATTCAGTTTTCAGAAGGACATTTAGTGGACCAATATGGCTGGAGGGAAGAGTTTTTATCAGGAACATTATTAACATTAACAGATAGGTCCAGGCAACTCAAATAAACAAGCTTCTAAATTATAGGAAACTAAGGAAATATAAAGATTGACTAGATATTTGATGGTGTTGAGAAATAACTTTTTTGGTGGGATAATAATATCATGGTTCTATTTTAAAAGGAGAATCCTTGTCTTTTAGAGGATACGCTGAGATACCTATGGATAAAATTGTTTGATATCTGGGATGTACTTCAACAGAATCTGAGGAGTTGGTCAAAGCATACAAAATTTGAATTAGACAGCCAGGCACGGTGGCTCATGCCTATAATCCCAGCACTTCAGGAGGCTGAAGTGGGAAGATCACTTGAGGTCAGGAGTTCGAGCCAACATGGTGAAACCCTAAAACTACAAAAATTAGCTGGGTGTGGTGGCACGTGCCTGTAATCCCAGCTACTCGGGAGGCTAAGGCAGGAGAATCACTTGAACCTGGAAGGCGGAGGTTGCAGTGAGCCGAATGCAGACCTTTGCACTCCAGCCTGGGTAACAGAGCAAGACTCCATCTCAAAAAAACAAAAATAAAAATAAATAAATAGCAAAATTTGAATTAGAGAGGAGGAATAAATGTGGGAGATTGATTCTACATGATCACTATAGATAATAATATATGCTTGAAAATTGCTGAGGAAGTAGATTTTAAAGATAAATGCTTGAGGTGATAGATATCCCAATTACTCTTATTTGATCATTACACATTGTGTATAGGTATCAAAATATCACATATACCTCCAAAATATGTACAACTATTATATATCATTTTTTTTAAAAAAAGAAAAAGTTCCCACCACAAAAAAAGTGATGAATATGTGAGGTGAAGAATATGGTAATTAACTTGATTGAGCCATTCCATAATGTATACACACATCAAAACATCGTGTTGTATACCATAAAAATATACAATTTTATTTATCAATTCAAAAATTAATCGGAAGGATTATATACTCTAAATGGGTGAATTGAATGCTTTCTGACTTATATCTCACTATAACTGTTAAAAATAAATAAATTGAATGCCCCCAGACCCAAAAGAAAAATCTGAGGGAAGTAAGGCAGCAGAGTGGTTGGAGGTCTAGAAGAAACAAGATTGGCCATGAGTTGATCATTGATTGATCATGAATGAGTTTACCATTCATGAGTTGATGCTGGAAGATAGATACATGAGTGTTAATTTCACAATTTCTTTTCACTTTTATGTATGTAAATATAACTTAAAAGGTAGAGAGAGGCCAAGTGTGGTGACTCATGCCTATAATCCCAGCAGTTTGGGAGGCCAAGGCAGGTGGATCACCTGAGGTCAGGAGTTCAAGACCAGCCTTGCCAACATGCCAAAATCCCATCTCTACCAAAAATACAAAAATGTTAGCTGGGCATGATGGCATGAGCCTGTAGTCCCAGCTACTTGGTTAGCTGAGACAGGAGAATCACTTGAACCCCAGAGGCAAAGGGTGAAGTGAGCTAAGATTGCACCACTGCACTCTAGCCTGGGCAGCAGAGTAAGACTGCGTCTGAAACACACACACACACACATGCACACACACACACACAGACCCACAGACGATGGGGGAAAGATAGAGCCAGGTACGTAAGTGTGTTTTTGTTTGATTCCATTTGTCCACCTCCCTCATTCACCATGCACATGGTTCAGTAACTAGACACATCTCTGGGGCTTGCAAGAAACAGAACAAAGGCAGTGGCCCTAGCTAAACATGACTACCTGGTCCCCAACAGCAGCTGCCACCCACCTGTGCCTGCACTGGAGACACCTGTAGCACAGGACTGAGGCGGTTCCCCAATAAACCTTGGAGTCTCTGGAAGCTCACCTCCAAACCGCTCTATCTGGGGCCACACCTAATGATCTGGAGTGTGATCGATGAGGAAAGGGTCGTTTACATGACACAGCATGCTTGAGTATCAGGTATAATAACCTTCAGTGACTTTTTAGCTCAATCCTTCATTTTACAGATGAGGAATCTGAAGCTGGGATCAGCAAAGGGAGATGCCCAAGGTTACACACACTGGTGGGGTCAGAGCCTAGACCAAACAGTGGTCTCCCCAAGAGCTTGAAGACCCTTCACCAGCTGGCCTCATGCTTCCCATATTTGATGAGAATCACAGACCTCTTAGCAAATATGTACTCAAGCTAGCCTCTCCCTAGCCCATTGACCTGTGATTGTCCATTCTGAAGAATACAGCCGAAAGAAGTCAAACACCTTTAACAAAACACATTTTGGAAGAGTTTAGCTAAAGGAAAGCACAGAAATAGGAAATAAGACATTGCTTGAAAAACCCTGTGAAGAAACAAAGGATACAGTGCCAGTCACAAAGTACATCATGGTGGCTGGCAAACTTGGGCTACTCAAACCCACACTTGTGAAGATATAGTGATGTAAGTCGGGGGTGTGGGAACAATCTCTAGCCGTTGGTAACTCCATACTTAGGTGTAATATTGAATACCTGCGATTTGTGTGTATTTCTACTTAGTTTTTTGCTGTTGCATCTGGATTCCTGCCTGAATTATTCTGTTTATGTGTTCAGTCCCATTAAAATTTACCCTGTGCATGCTGATAACAAGTTTCATGTTGAAACATGCATAATTTGGATTGTGAAACAGTATGGTGAAGGAGCTTCTGCACGCAGCAGTGCAAACTTTCCTTCTTCCTTA